TTTTCCTTTAAAAAACTAAACGTAAATGTTAGTTTTGTTCTCCTTAGGTCGACTTTTTGTATAAAAAGTTTCAGAATAAGTTCACTTATTCTGAAACTAAGATTTCTAAACACTTTTTTAATTTAGAAAAAACTTTTCTGAAACTTAAACCTTTCCATAATCTAGACGTTGCTTTCTCTAATTTAAAGGTTGAATTGTTGTAACTTATTGGTTTCTTTTCTAAAACTTAGTTTTTATGCTTCTGTAATGAAGAGGTTTCATTTTTCTGGAGGTACCTTTAAACCTTAGAGGCTACGTTTATGAAGCTTACAGAAAAGATGTTTTAACTAAGAATAAAGCTTCCAGAAGCTGTGATGTCCTGAAAGCACCTGAATGCATCACATTAATACCTCTGGATATTAGCTGAAGTTTCCTTCTTTATCAGGTCAGTTCAGGAAAATAAAAGTCTGGAGGTTTGTGGAAGGAAACCCGATGGAGCAAAGTAGACGGCAGCTTTTGTTCTTCTTCACAGTAAATGGTTCAACGATTAGAGGAGCAGGAGAGATTTTACTGATCTTTGATGGAGAGGAAGTCTCCGGACGAGCCGTTGGTTTCTGGAGCTGCTCGCTGAAGCGACGCCGTCGTCCCTCCGGCGCTGCTGTGGAGCTGCGTCTGCAGACCTGGAGAGGAAAGCCATCATCAGCTCCGGTTTGAGATCATCATGGCTTTCTGCACTGAACTTGGATTAGAAAAGTGGAATTGAGTATTTAGATCGAAGAAGCAGGTTTCTAAAATCGTAAAACATGTCAACACACATTAAAATGGTGTTATACACTATATAAACAATCTAGAAATGTCTGACATTAAGTGTATACGCTGGAAAAATTGAAGTCATTTTTTCTAAAAATAAGTGCATTTGTTTTTGGATTGAGGAGATAAAAGAGACATTTTGCCAATGAAACAAGAAAACTTTTATTTAAAATAACTAAACACAACTGCATTTTTCTATTTCAAGTGCATTTTATCTAATTATCTTATTTTAAGAGTAGAAAATTCTCATCCCACTGGCAAACTATCTCATTTTACCAACTCAAACTAAGGGTAAATACACTTAATCTAAGAATTTTTTTACTTATTTCTAGATTGTTTTTTTTTAGCGTATAAAAGTAAATAGGATACTTAGATAATATGCACTTGAAATAAAACAATGCAATTGTTTTATTTCTTAATTTAAATGTAAATAATCTTGTTCCATTGGCAAAGTGTTTCATTTACCTCCTCAATTCAAGACAAAAAAGAAAAAAAGGTTCTTATTTAGTGTTCAGTTTTTGCAGTGTAGGAGCCATTGGTAGTTTGGGCTTAGTTTAGGTCGATCTTATTTACTTTGGATAATTTTGACGCCATGACGTCACAAGCAGCATCCGCGCTCCATGGTCCCGGTCAGGGAAGCTACTTTCACTACATTTCGATTCTTTGTACTTGTGAAAGTGTAATTATAATAAAGTTGAATTCTTTTCTAAACATGGTTGGAGTGTTGAGCGCATCTCCCCATCTTTCCCAACCTTAACAACAAGAGAGTTCAAAATGGAGACTGCTCTCCTTGTTCTTCTTCCTGCTTCTGCGTCCGGTAGCATCCATTGAAGATGGCAGCAAAATCCCCTGAAACCTCAAGGCCTTCTCCTGGGAGAGCAGCTTTTTACTCTGACTCCATCCTTTCACTGAATTACAGGGTCTGACCAGGAGATGGCGCTTCTCTTTAGATCTTAATGTCCTCAAATCATAACAGAAAGAATATTTTAGATGTTTATTCAATTCAATTCTATTCAGTTTATTTCTATAGCTCCAATTCACATCATGTCATCTCAGGTCACTTTTAACAGGAAGAAACCTTAAAATGGAAATGTAGGGGACCAGCAAAGGACCTGCCAAGGACCGGCCAAGGACCGGCCAAGGACCGGCCAAGGAGCGGTCAAGGACCGGCCAAGGACCAGCCAAGGACCACCTAAGGACCGGCCAAGGAGTGGCCAAGGACCTGCCAAGGACCTGCCAAGGACCGGCCAAGACCTGCCAAGGACCGGCCAAGGACCTGCCAAGGACCGGCCAAGGAGCGGTCAAGGAGCGGCCAAGGACCAGCCAAGGACCTGCCAAGGACCTGCCAAGGAGCGGCCAAGAACCTGCCAAGCACCTGCCAAGGACCGGCCAAGGAGCGGCCAAGGACCTGCCAAGGACCGGCCAAGGAGCGGTCAAGGACCGGCCAAGGAGCGGCCAAGGACCAGCCAAGGAGCGGCCAAGGACCAGCCAAGGAGCGGCCAAGGACCAGCCAAGGACCTGCCAAGGAGCGGCCAAGGACCTGCCAAGGACCAGTCAAGGAGCGGCAAAGGACCAGCCAAGGTAAGGCCAAGGAGCGGCAAAGGACCAGCCAAGGAGCGGTCAAGGACCTGCCAAGGTCCGGCCAAGGACCAGCCAAGGAGCGGCCAAGGACCTGCCAAGGACCAGTCAAGGAGCGGAAAAGGACCAGCCAAGGAGCGGCCAAGGTAAGGCCAAGGACCTGCCAAGCAGCGTTTCTGCTGCTCCTGCTGCGTGCGGTCTGAACGTAGCATTACACAAACGACGGTAACCCGGCTGGGCCAAAATTCTTCCATGATGGTTATCCATGGTCGGTGTGTCAGAAATACATCTACAAGGTTTAAAACTTAAAAAACAGAAAAACTTAAACTCCAGAAAGAATCTGTAAAGATACAGCTAACGTTAAACTCCGAAATCCTGCTCAAATACACAATCCTGAGGTCAGGAGCTATTATCCTCCAGCAGGTGGCGCCGCTTGCCGTTTACCTGCTCCCCCCTCTGCGTTGGGGTCAGCGGCGGGTGGCTGGGCTGCTGAGGCCGGAGGGGGGGGCGACGGGTAATCAGGCGGTGTCTCGTTCTCGTCTCCTGATAGGTTTCTGGGAAGGCCCGTTACCACGGAGCCGGACAGGCTGACGGGGCGCTTAGCAACGGGTAACTTCCTCTCTGGAGACAGTCAGACAGACAGTTGTTAGGAAGGTTTCAGACCATCAGGATGAGTCCATGGATCTTAGGACCGACTTTTCTTCTGTCCTCGGTACTGCTGGGACTTCCTCCTCTGCTTGGATCCTGCAGACTGCACATCTCTGGACCCTGAAACCAACGCAGACCTCGGTTAAGGTGGTTCACCCGTCAGGCCTCCGTTAGAACCCCGCCCCCTCAGGTGAGGTGTACCTGCGGTGACGGCAGGCGGTTGCAGCTGGTAGCCGGTCAGCTGACACCAGCCCACTGGGTACAGGTCGGGTGACTCACAGTCCACCCACTGGTCGTACTCGTCTTCCCAGCCGTCGAAGTGGATCCGTAGCAGTCGGTGGACAATCCTGGTAACCGTGGCAACGCAGACGAGCCTGGGCTCCATGAGGTCCACGGCCTCCAGCTTCATCCCGGGACGGAAACCGTGGTTTGGGACTTCCTGGTGGAGCACAAAGAGAAGCTTCAGCGTCTTCATCCTGCAGGAGTTTGAAGGTTCCTACTGATGGTGGAGAAGAAGCAGCAGTTCTAGGATCAAACATCCTGATCTTAATCTGCATTAATCCAGGTTCTGATCTGAGATTAGATCAGTCTGGTTCTTTTCCATGTTAGAGGGATTAGCTTTAACAACGAGGAGTTCATTTTGTTCAAAACCTGTTAAAAAGGAAAATCCATCCATCCATCCATCCATCCATCATCCATCCATCCATCCATCCA